AGCGCGTTAGAAAAAAGGCTGCAGGCTCAAATTCGATCTTGAATCCGTCTACGCAATTCTCAGTTGCCCAGCAATACCTGCAGCCATGCTGTAAGGACTCATTTTATGTATGTTTTGGGGAGCGTATCATTATGTTCCATGTTTATTATATTTCACAATATGTATCAGCACAGCAAGTTCTGCTCGTCTCTTTAGCGCATACCAGACTGACTTCAGAAAGGACGCTAAAGTAGTTTCGCAATTTGCGAATCTATCGTCTTTCCTGTTTCTCTTCTACAGTCAGCGCTCTACGATCAGACCTTACTCAGCAGCAGAGTCTGTCTCTTTCATCCTGCTACCATGCCCTACACGCATTCGTAAAAACCCCGTTACTTAGGTTGCGTCTATGTCTCGCCACCCAAAAATGCACACACATGTACAGTGGTCTGCAACTAGCAAAAACTGACTCTACGACGCGGCCTTCCTGACAAATCACACGCCCTCGTGTGTCGACTTCGAATTAGAGTATTCTTGTTAAAACCACCAGATTCGGTTTTTCTTTCACACGTTATAGCTTATGATTTTAATTCAATTATAAACAAACAGTCGCTTAAACCAACATAAACATTCAATGTTTTCATAACAAAAATTCTTCTTAACCAAGTAACATGTTCCTTTTCAAAAATTTAGCATATAAATTTTTATAGCCTGAACCCAAAGGGTAAAAGGCTATATTAGTTTTGTGCGAATGTATGTAACACACAGAAGGAGGCGTGGCCCCCCACAAAGTATATATATTATTGATCAGGATGACAAGACTAGTCGATATAGCCATGTCCGTCTGTCCGTCCGTCTGTCTGTCTGAGCCCAACGATCTCAGCAACTACAATAGCTAGGATAACCAAACTTGACATTCAGGTTCCCCTAAACCCTAGGCAGATCGAGTTTGTGTTTTTTTTTTTTCTGATAAACCCCCTCACTACCCCGCAATTCGTGTTTTTCCCCATAACTCCCATAATTCTTGGAATTTTGAAATTTGGTAGTCACATCCAGTTAGTGATTATGTGTCCGTATTCGAAGTTTCATCATGATACATCAACTCTGAAGAAAGTTATAGCCATAAATAAAATCGCTGCCCATGCGCTGCCTGCAGCTCTGCCTACAGCGCTGCCCGTAGCTGTTTTTGTTGCTTTGGTTCAACTTTGTGGTGCATACATACACGCATATAAGCACGCATAGACCTGATGATGTAAATGTATGCTATTGAAACTGTACATAGGCATGTCTTCTGTGTATATATTAAATAAATTTTATTTAATTTAGTTAATTAATTCAATTTTTTTAAAAGAATTTATTTTTTTTAAAATATTTTTTTTTCCTTTTTTGTGGAGAGTATAGGCTATTTTACTGTCGGGCTTGCTCGACTGTAGCGTTCTGTCTTGTTAATTCCAGTTATTTAATTTCTTGTCATAAATCAAATTTAATTCCGTAGCTCATTGGTGTATTTCCTTTTACACATTATTATCTATAAATTAATCAATATTATTTAATTTAATTCTTAAGTAATTTAACAATATTTGTGTATTTCCTTTTACACATTACATTCTCAACCGCCAAAACAAGTCTCTTCTGTTATGGTGCGGTCTTCATTTGCCCCCTCGGGATTCTGACAAGTCTCTTCTGTCATCCATTACTTTATTCCCTTAGTGGGCATCAGAAGCATCTTCCATGGTGCTGTCTGAATCTTCAAGCAATTCATCAACTAGCTGACTGTTTGGTAAGGCTCTTAAAAATTCGTGTGAATATTTATATGTTCGTTTACTTGTTAGCGCTTTTAAAATATATCGATATCCGTCTAACACCTCAACTATCGGAAACGGACCTTTAAATTTTGGGTCAAGTTTTTTTTGATGGCGGTCTTCATTTTTCAACAATACGTGATCACCTACGTTATGTTTTATAATTTTGGCTTTATTGTACGTATGTCATAACGTGCATTTTCATCCATATTTTTCTTAGCTTGTTTTCTTTAATTTTCTCTATCGATTTACTGTGCAATTTATTGCCAGTTGCACTTCGTTTAATGCCACGATCTTTGACTTGTTTCTACAGCTGTCAACATACTTTTGAGTGTACTCATCACTCGTTCTACCTGGCCGTTTGCTCTGCTTGCGCCTGTGGCAAGTAAATGTAAATGAATCTTTTGAGAAGAACAATATTCCCAAAACCCCGAGCTAGCAAAACAACGACCTTGATCCGCTATTTTGTTGCTTAACTTTGCTGATATCTCTATATATATAAAACAGTTTGTCCTGACTGACTGATTGGTGATCAACGTACAGCCCAAACGGTAAAAGCTAGGAAGTTTGGACTCAAGTATCCTTTCTAGTGTAGGTGCCCACTAAGAAGGGATTTTGGAAAATTCAAGCTCCAAAGGGGGGAAACAGTATCCAACGTTTGTATGAAAATTCTGCATTTCTGCACCGATCAACTTTTAATTTGATTTTTATAATCTATAAAAAAAAAAAAAAAAACAAAACTGCATACTCGAAATTTGTGGTGGAGCTCGAATTATTGGGGTTTTAATATTTATTCACCTTTTTAAATGAAAAGTTTGTGTTATAAATTTTTTCCAATCGATTTCAAATTTGGGGACTGTAATCTACGTAACTAAATCTACAACTTTGCGTTCAAGGATTTTCAAAATATGCATTTTACAAATGCAGGCAGAACAAACAATACAAAATATCACACAGTTGGGGACAACTAAGTATACCTACACACACACACACATACAAGCAGCTGTTCGTGTAGTTGCGTACACACGATTGAAATAGCCAAAGCAAAATGTGAGACACTAATGTGTGAATGTACACACATACATATGTACACATCTATGTACATGTACACATCTATGTACATGTCCACATCTATGTATGTATGTATTATCTAATCATTAGTAACTTTATGCAGCAACAACAAATTACAGAGAACAAATTACATATCAAATAGTTGGGGACATCATATACACACATTCACACACAGAACAAGCAACAGTTCGTGTCTATGTGTGCGGTTCTCTACGTACGGTTGAAAAAGTAAAGGGAAACATGCATGCATATGTACATACATATGTGTACGTACATATATAGCTTGTATGTACATTCGTATGTACGAATATATGTGTACATTGGACAATTGAGCACTGTTGTTTGATTGTAATAAATAATGTTCTATGGTTTTAAATCAAATTTTTAAAACGGAAAACAACAACAACTGCAAGTCATTGGCTCGCGCTTCCCTTTCGTTTTGATCATTTACGCCTGTTCATTTCAAAGGCAAAATGGCAAATGTTTACAGTTACCGTCGCTAGGCAACGACTGCGTAAGCGATAGTAAAGCAGAAACCGAAAGCGGACCTACGCATATTCTGCTTCGCGTTGCGGGCAGATGTACATATGTACATATGTATGTTTGTATATGATGTGTTCTAATTGATCACAATAAATTATAAGATGTTATTATTTAAATTTTCTGTTAATTGCATTCAAACTTCGATGAAATTATTGATTGTATCGACGGATTCAATTATCGATACTTTTGATGCTCTAGCACATAGAGCATCCGACACATGCCCATCTCGAGCATCTCAGCTGATCGCATATTTAGAGCGACTTACCGTTTTAGTGTTAGCTAACAACGCTACAAATATACTTTGAACAAATCTAAGAGTCATTTACCGTTAAGCCTATTTTGTGAGTGTATTCATGCGATTTACAAAAGTAGAAACACACCTTTTACATTCACAACAATCATATTTGGAATTGAAGACACAAATTAGTGTTGAATTCAAAAATTTAATACATACTTATATATGTGTGTATGTACAGGGTGTGCCATTTTTTATGTCGGTATGTAAATATTGAATAACTTTGTCATTAGTGAACCGATTGACTTGAGTAGACCAGTGTTGAAAATTCAAGAAATTGTACAGAACCAAATTAAATAAAAATATCTCATACTTAAAAATCGGTTGTTTATTTTCAAAGATATTCAATGTTTACATACCAACATAAAAGATGGCGCACCCTGTATATAGGCGGATAACGCCTGCATGAAAAATTTAAATGTATGTACATATCAGCGTTGCCGAACGCTCCAATTTTGGCGGGATGTCCCGATTTATAAATCCAAATTAAATTTCCCGCGTCGGATTTTTCGGGGATAACTCGACCGTGCGTACAACGTGCTGAGAAGCACACAGCTAAGTCAGGACTAGCAGTCCGTCCGGTGCGTAACGAAGATATGTATGTACATATGTATGTATGTACGTATAACCATACATAGTACTTATTGTACTATATTTGCTATTTGGAAAATGAACTCTTTAAAAATCTTTAGAGACCGTCGAAAGAAGAATATATTAGTTAATAAACTTATAATTATAAGCACATTTTACTTAGCCCAGCGAAGACGGACAAGACCTGCTAGTATCGGATATCTCGTGATCACGCTGTTGTTCGGAAACCAACTAGTTGTCAGTTACCTCAGTCAAATTAATTCGCTTTTCCATCATTTTATTTACGCTCTTATTATGATCTGACGGTGGATTCCGAGAAAGAAAATCTACGTGAGTCATTCGCTGGCCCTTTCTATATTCGAGATCGAAATCAAATGACTGCAAGAAACCCCACCACCTGTGCACTCTCGGAGTTAGATCCATTTTAGTAGGACTAGCTTTCAGAGAATTGCAGTCTGTGTATACAACAAATTTACGTCCTTGCAAATAATGGCGAAAATGTTTTTAGTAGTGTTAAGAACCGCTAGAGTTTCAAGCTCATATGAATGATATTTCGATTCTGCTGGTGACGTACATTTGCTATAATATTCAACAACATGCGGTTTGTTATCGATTTTATGTAGCAATATCGCCCCATATCCAATCGAACTAGCATCCGTATGCAATTCTATAAAATATTGTGGGTCAAATATGATTAACACTGGTGCCTGTGTCAATACTGTTATTATTTTTAAACCAAACAAAATCAGAATATTTCTTTGAAGTCAGCAGATATAAAGGCTTTAGTGTTTCGGAAAATTTTGGGACGAACTGCCGAAAATAGGATGCTAAGCCTATAAATTGCCTTAATTGTGACACAGTTTGTGGAATCGATCTAACGCTTCGTCTTTGGATTGGGCTATAATTAACACATCATCAAAGTAAACGATTGCATATGTGTATGCTAAAGTACCTAATACTTTCATTATGGCCCGTTGAAATATAGAAGGGGCGTTTTTCAGACCAAAGGGCATGGTCAAAAACTCATACTGTCCTTCTGGGATAACGAAAGCAGTACGCTCAATTGAGTTTGGATGTACCGGAAATTGGTAGATGCCACTTGCCATATCTACGCACAAAAAATATTTTGCTCCACGTAGCCTAGCTATCTGGTCTGAAATTAGAGGTAACGGATACTTATCTGCAATAGTGTTCTCATTTAATATGCGATAATCTACACTAAGACGATCGGTGCTATTCTTTTTCTTAACCAACATCATAGGGCTAGCGAAAGGTTAGCAACTGGGGCGAATAATATTTGATTTCAATAATTCATTAATCTTGCATCGTACATTTTCTTTCTCATCCTTGCTAAGCCTATAAGGGCGGCGTTGCACTGTCTTTTGTGGATCTATTAATCTTATTTCCAACTGCCCTGTGGACACTCGTGTCCTTGGAATGCCATCTATAAACCAGTCAGAGTAACATTTTGAAATATTCTTTAAGGCCCTCTTATCAGAGTCATTCAGATTACTATCAGTTTTTATAGCATCTTTATATCCACTTAAACTTAATACATCTACTCTTTTTGTTCTAGAAATATGAAATGTGTCAGCATCCATGGATACACCGAAGCCCTGGCTTAGTATCTCTCGTCCTATCAGCACATCATATTTCAGAAACTTATCCATAATAACATGCAACAAAATCTCAAAATAATATTGTTCAATATTTATATTACACTAGCGTCCTGCTCCTGCTTCGCACGGGTATTTTTACAAAAATTTTAAAAATTATTCTTTTTATAACACACACACACTTAAAACTCATACAGGGTCTTTTTGGTATGAGTTACTAGGAAGGAGTAAAATTTATTTTGGATATTATTATTTTAATGATTTTTTGTTCGTTTTTAGGTTTTTTTTGTAATTTTTTATTAGGTCAGAGGTTCTCTGTAAAAGATATTTGATGTTTTATTTTGTGGTAGCAAAATAAATTGATTTTCAGGAGCTCCGACCCGTGATAGGTCAACATACAGTAAAACATTGCTTTCGTATGTCGATCCCTACTAATTCGAACGCTTGGTCTTCAGACTCACGGAAATTGAAGCCATATAAATTATCAAATGGGATCATCGGTATCCTCGGTATCCTCGTTATATGAGCTAGTTGACCAGTTGCTGGGACGTTGATAATAGTTGTTAAATTAAATTGTCCTACATTTCCTTAATAAGCAATTCCGAATTTTACCGTCAATTCATGTGGCGGCAGTCCAGAAGGGTTTAGTGAATTCGATTTGTAATCTTTTATTTGGCTGGGGGCATTTGAATAATATTGCCTTAATATTTAAAGTGACAATGTTTCGAGGATGATTATGAATTAACAGCATGCTATTCAGGAGTTTTTAAGGTAATTTTTTTACACCTTTGATTACATTATCGGCGTTTTAATAAGGATTCCATTCTTTGTTGCAATTATAATATAACCCATGTTCACCGTCGATAGTGTCGCTTCCCAACAGTGAAACAATCCATTAAATCGGTCCAGTAGATTCGGAGCCTTTTAAATTCAAACAAACAAACAAACAATCAAATCTTTCCTTTTTATAATATTAGTATAGATAAAACTTGCAATGTGCTACAAATAAGCCAATAAGTAATGAGTCTACTTATGCCGTTTAGTTTTACAATATTATGAAGTCTCTTTCCTTTGAATTTATCAGCCACACTTTCCTTGACCAAAGGACATTCAGCTCCTGAGTCAAAACAATATGGAATAGACTCACCGGATACACTTATTGTTCCCAGATGAGTAATGTCCAATTTCGTCGCACTTAAAATATTTTATATTGGACCGGTCTTTCACTCCAGATGCGCTGCTTCCGTTGTGAGTTTTTCCTTTGGTGTTATGTGATTTCTCCAATCGAGCACGACATTCGGCATAATTGTGGCCCGCCTTTCCACAGTAGTTGCATTTCACCAGAAGCGAAAACGTTGACTTCGTTCGTTCTGGACCAGTAGTATACGCATATTCATCTATATTACGCTTCTTAAAAGCATGTGCTTGTAATTGTTGTTGTAGCTCGTTGCGAGACTTCACGTTGGTAGTAAACACCCAGCGTAACAATTTATTATCAATTTGCGCCATGTGAGTCAATGCTACAGACACTGCGATTTCCTCCAAATTCTTTGCTTTCCATTTGGACATAAGTAGTGTGACGATTCGGCTGCCATATTCAGACATGCCTTCTCCAGATTTTGGACGAACGTTCAAAACATTCATTAGAATAGCCGCAGATGTCTCAATACCGACAAAGCGTTGAATAAACAGCTCTTTGAACTGCGTCCAAGTAAAGCCGGCAAAGCATATTTGTGACATCCACTCTGATATGCCGCCTTCTAACGCCTTGCTTAATGCCATCACCAGGCCGCTACCCTCAAGCATGTTATCGGCAAAAATAAGGTCAACTGTAGTGCACCACGCTGAAGCGTCCGCTCCAGCACAGTCGGGATTAAATTTTGGCAAATTGACGTATGAAGCCCTCCCGCCCATAGACGGCGCTCTTGATGTTTGCATAGCTTTGATGACTTCTAATTAATTGCGGTTCTGCGCTTCCAACACTGTAAGGTACGCATTAGTGTCATGATCTTTAGGCGACGCAGATCCCACTTCTGATGCCGGGTGTGTATCATTTTGTTCCATGTTTATTATATTTCACAATATGTATCAGCACAGCAAGTTCTGCTCGTCTCTTTAGCGCATACCAGACTGACTTCAGAAAGCACTCTAACGTAGTGTCTCTCTTCTACAGTCAGCGCTCTACGATCAGACCTTACTCAGCAGCAGAGTCTCTCTCTTTCATCCTGCTACCATGCCCTACACGCATTCGTAAAAACTCCGTTACTTAGGTTGCGTCTATGTCTCGCCACCCAAAAATGCACACACATGTACAGTGGTCTGCAACTAGCAAAAAGTGACTCTACGACATATATATGTGAAATGGTATAGAGGCATATGCATCTAGGAGTGACACCGATTGGCAGGACTGACAGCAACGAAGAGAAGAGCAAGAGCAGCAAATAGAGGCAGTCGTCAAGTAGCGTCGTCGTGAGTCGCACGTACATACTATATAGTTGAATTGATCCATAGTCATACCGTCGTGTTGTAATATTCGATAAAGTTGTTGTTAAACGAGCTGCCTTTAATAGTTGTCAAACATTTGTTGCTTATACATACCAATTACCATAACTTGTTAGCATATAATATTAATAAACTGATTGGAATACATATCCTATCTTACATTTGGGGGCTCGTCCATGCTAGCAGACGATTGGTATTTGTGCGTGTTAAAAAGACAAAAGGTGCTTAAAAGTGGTGTCAAAATAAGTTGCATAAGTGACGTTGCTTAAGAGTAGAGTACAGTAGAGTCAAAAGCACTGGCCTTGAAAAGTTAATGGGTAGAGCAAGCGCTGCAGTACAAGCAGTCACAAAACCCGTTAGGAATTCGAAAGACGCACGAATTGCTGGCGCCAAGGTACAGACGAGTAGCACGGTGGTTAGAGTGGGACCATCATACAACACACGAGCAACAAAGAGCAGTACAGATATAAAACTAGCGAAACGGGAGCTAATGCAAGCACCAAGAACATCAGTCTAGATGTGCGAAGATAAGAAGAAGAGAAGCCCGACAATGCAGAAAAAATTATGCAAAACAATCAAATGTTGCAACAAGTAATTCAATTACTATCGCTAAAAATACAAGCTGATGAAATTAAACAAAATGAGCCGAAAATTAGTGCGGATAACTTTACAACAATAATACTAGACTTTGACGGTAGTAGCATTCCCGTAAAGCATTGATTTAACAATTTCGAAATAAATGCACAGGCTTATGGTTTAAGTGATGCACAAAAATATGTTTTAGCGCGTTCAAAAATAACACAAACGGCCAAACTTGTACTGGAGTCTGCAGTAATTTATAATTATAAGGAGTTGCGCGCCATATTGGAAGAGGAGTTTGATCGAGAATCAGTGTGGAGCGCCGATATTCATGCTGAGTTGCATGGACGTAAAAAACAAAAAGAAGAGACATTCAAGGAATATATTTTGCAAGTGAAAAAAATTGCTTAGCTCAGGAAAGTGGACACTACATCAGTGATTCGATATGTAATTGATGGGCTTAATTTGAAAAGCGATTTTAAATACAACCTGTATAACTGTAAAACATACAAAGAGTTGGAAAGCCAGTATGAAATATATGAACGAGTAGCAGATGTAGAAAAGTCGTATGAAGTCGAAAAAAAAAACAAGTGTAAATGCAGAAAACATTCGAAAAAAGAGAGGTTGCTTTAATTGTGGGTCGCCCGATCATATGCGCAAAGATTGCACAAATCAGATGAAATGTTTTCGTTGCAAGCAGAGCGGACACATTTCGACAAATTGTCCTATGGTAAACGCCGCAATAAACGTTGTTAACAGCAGTAAGCGCATGAAAAAAGTTAAATTTAACGAACTGGAAGTGGAGTGTTTGGTCGACACTGGAGCAGATCTTACCATCATGAAGAAAAACATCTTTAGCAAAATCAGCGGTGCAGAGTTGAAGAATTTTGGCAGACAGTTACGTGGCTTGGGCAACAAGGTGACTCACCCACTGGGCTATTTCTTCGCGGACGTGGAGGTAGATGGCTTGCGTACCTCACTTCAAATTGTTGTCGTGTCAGACAGAGACGTAAAAAAACAAAAACTGAAGAAGTTATTGAGTTAAGTATTTTTCAAGTTGTACAAACACATACTGATATAGATGTACCCCCACAGCACAAATGTGAAGTTCAGGCGCTGATTAACGATTATAAGCCGGCTAAGGACGTTCTGGAGTGCCCAGTTCAACTTAAAATTGTACCAGATGGCGAAATTGTTCCTTTTCGGCAGATAAACCAATGGCTACGTGAAGGTATAATTCGAGAGTCTTCATCAAACTTCGCAAGTCGCCTGGTGTTGGTGAACAAAAAGGATGGCACACGTCGTATTTGCGTCGATTTTCGTAAATTGAACTCCATGGTCCTGAAGGATTATGTAAATTTTATAAACGAAACGAAATAAATGCAGCTATCAATTTACGTTAAATAACTTGCATACAAATGGAACTGCGGAAAAGTAGACAAAAGTAGTTGGCTGTTGCGCTTGGTTAAAAAAATAAAAACGTCCGCTGTGTTCGGTGGTCACAAGAGAAGAGGCTCATGTTTATTTTCGGCAACATAAAAGCGCGATTGCTTAGGTTAACAGCTGGATTAATGCCGTTTTACATTAAACCACTCATTTGTACAGTGGTGCAAGCTACGACAACATTGACTTCAATTACTTAAGCTTAAATTAACAATTTAATTTTACATCTATTAACTTAAATAACTAACAATTCAATTTCAACAATTCATATATGACAACTTAAATACAAAAAAATTCAAAATATAATAATATAAACCAACATGCCAGCCACGTTGAAGGGCCATGCATTGGACCTTCAAAATATGGGAAGCATGGCTAGCTTGTGGATGGGCCGTTTAAGTTCGCCCATGGCCATTTTTACGGTTGCTACCCGCACTTGGCCGCCTGCTCCTGTTGTAGCGCTGGTTATCCGTCCTACGATCCAACGCTGCGGTGGTGTGTTGTCCTCGTGGACTTGGTGCGAAGCTGAAGACTGTGTACGTAGTCCTTGGACCACGCTTGCCAGAACCGCTGTCTGAGCAGTGATAGCAGCTGCCACCTGTGCGTATAAATTAATCAATTTTAAGTTTATTTGATATAAAAAAATATTTATTACAGCACTATGTGCTTCTTTTCGAGTTGATTACAAACTGAACTTAATATTTAAGCCAAGCCCTAACGAAACCTTTGTCCCAACGTTCCTACGTTGACGTCGGCGTCGACGTTGCACCGAGAATCGCTGAGGTTGCGATCCCACGGTAGCTGGCTTGCCAGCGCGTTGACCCCGTATGCACCGAATTGGACACCCAAGACTTTATGTCAGCATTTCCCAGCACGTTGATTTGCCACGTGCGTCGGTCAGTGCGACAATTTGGTACTCAATGTTGGCGTTTTGAGTAACTAAAGTGTTAACTCCTCCCTCCCTGATCTCGAACGTCCCGGTCGATGAATTAAAATCCGGGGAGATCATGGATGCTTCTAGGTTTTTTAGTATGGCTTTCCGAGGGAGTTTCTGCCGTGCTGATCTTCTCTGGGCGCTGCACTTCACTTGAGGGATTGCTTTGTTTCTCCACTACTTTTGTGCTCGGTCCGCTCATCTTTAGCTTTACTACGTAGGTGATGAACACAAACACAACTCCGCCTGATATCCCAATACTTGAGAATGTGTTTGCCTTGAGGTTAGCTTGCAGAGCACTTATCCTTTCTGTATTTTTGATGTTCAGGTCCTTCATCAGTTGTAGGGATAGAACCTCCTCCATCGTTGTCAGCGGCCTCTCCAGTTGAATCATAGCTGGTAGCGTCTTATAGTTAGAGGTTTCGTATGATGAAAAAAACTGATTTTCTATATCTAATGTACAATTATTAAATTTAATTATGAACGATCCCTTAAGTGTTTGGGATTCATTATTATTTGAAATCTTACCACTAAAGTTGTTCAGAAGAAGAATACCTGTATCTATTAGTTCTATTGCTTTTATGTGATTATCGTTAATGATGGTACAATTGTTTGGTCTATTTGTTATTAACTTTGAAATGCAGTTGTCATTTGAAATATCTACAATATTTGATCTTAAGCACATACTGATTTTATTAATTTTTTTGCATTGGTTGTTAGTTGAAAAGACTGCATTTTTACATTTAATGACATTTTCGTCTTTTATCTTTAATACCTTTCCCATCTTTTTTAATGGTTTGATGAGTAAATGTTTACATATTTCATTATTTAATTTTGGAATGTCGATAATATAAATTAACTTTTCGCCATTAAATGCGATTTTTATATCAGCAAAATTTAGAGCTTCTTCTATATTATTAAACGGAATATTTTCTTCTGTGAAAATGCTGTTTATTATTTCGGTTTCTTCCTCCGATATTAAAAAGGTATTTACTATATTTGCCTTTGATAAATGAATGGCAAGATTGATATTACTTAAATCTTCTTTTATTAAATCTATCTTATACTTTAGCTGTGTGGCAAAAATGTTCTGGAAATTTTCTGAATTTCTTATGCTTTCTATTATAACGTTGTTATCTTCTGTTAATTTATTGATTCTTTGTATGATGTCTTTATTTATAATTACTTGCTTGTTATTATTGCTTATGACATCATTTAATTTATTAGTTATCATTTCGAAATCCTCATGGTCTGGATTACCAGCAATCCATTTCCATACGGATCCGATCTCATTTATTGCCCTTTTTCTTATGGAGTGGGAGGTTAGTTTGTTAATTTGGAACTTTACTAATTCAATTTCTTTTTTAATGAAGGGAAAAAGTGGGTTTGCTAGGGAGATATTATTGAGCAAATCGTGTTGTATCTGGTCTATAGTAAGTTTATACTCGGTAATATTAATGTGGTGCAGAATTTTAAAATTTCCTGATTGAACTTTGCTATCGCCGAGTTCGATAATTGCTACCTCGGCCTTAGTATAGTCCAAAATTTCATATGTGGCATTGCAGCGCATAATGAACCTGGTAACAATAAAAGAAAGAGCAATCTTTTAATTTCTTATATGATTTTTATGGACAACTTTTCCTGACTGTGTAGTGACTGTTGAATGTTTGTTATCTTTTACTATTTCTTCTTTGAAACGTTTTGACATCTTAGTCCCTATTCTATTATTTTGTTTCACAAAAATTTTTTCGCCAGGTGCATATTGTATTACCTCGTTTTTATTCTTATTATGGTACTGTAAATCTTTTTGCTGTTTCTGTATCAGTTTCTCATAGTTATTATTCCTAGTCTTTTCGTATTCAGGTGGCCCAAAGGTGGTGGGTCTGCCAAAAAACAAATCTATCGGCTTCTTCCCTGTGGTAGAGTGAATACTGTGGTTGTATTCACATACAGCAACTTCCATGAGCTCGTCAAAATCCTCAATATTTTTTTCTTGTTTTAAACATCTCATAAGTTCTATCAGTGTCGAATGAAACCTTTCCACCTGTCCATTCACTGTGCTTTTGTGTAGTGGAGTATTAAAAACTTCTATACCTAATTCGTTCTCAAGCATAAATTTTATTGCTTGTGAATTGAGCGATTTTTCGTTATCAATTATAACAGATTTAGGCACGCCGAAGTAGAATAATATTTCTCTTAAAGGCTTCCTAATTGCTTCTACACTTTTGTTTTCTAGAGACCTAACAACTGCGAATTTTGTAAATTTGTCTAAAGATGTAAGAACTAACTTTTTGTTAGTCGAGAATATGTCTACATGTAAGATTTGACCTGGGTATTCTGGTATCGGCGTATTGCCAAGTTTTGTATTATTCGGGTGTCTCTCGTATTTGTTTTCTTTGCAGATTTTACATAAGCTTACAATTTTGCGAATTTTTCTTCTCATTGAAGGAAAGTAGTCCGTTTCTAATATTTGAAGTCTATTTTCTTGTTCGTTTCTATGAGCTCTGTTATGGGTCTTTATAATAATGTTTTGCTGTTCTTGCTCGTTTGTAATATCATTAACTACAATTTGACTAAAACGGACTTTATATGCTGCAAAATGGATTGGGTAAATATTCTGAATCTTAAGCATGATTGTCTCTGGTGTTTTTATACAATTAATAACCGATGGATTTAGATAACGTTTTAATAAGTTTTTAAGCTGATCCTCTGTGTAATCTTTTTCAACAATGGAATGCCTATGATAGGTTGGAAATATAATCTGAAATTTGTATGAGGATTCGTCACCCAACTGCAAAAATATTTGATTTTTAAATGCATTTATTGGTATTTCTACTGAATGAATCAAATGTTCGGATGAGCTTTCGCTGCTATGTACCGTCGGAGTTAAAGAATTTATTTGGCTCCTTGGTGGCCTGGATAAAAGATCTGCAACCAAATTTGTGTTTCCTGGCTTATAGACAAGTTCATAATTATACTCTTCTAACTGTGCCTTCCACCTTTTCATTTTAGCGTTCGTGTTCTTGTTGCTAAGGGCAAAGGTTAATGGCTGATGGTCTGTAAAAATTTTGAGTTTACTAACACCGTAGAGAAAACAACGTAGTTCTCGAAGTGACCAAATGATCGCTAACATTTCTCTCTCATTTGTTGCGTAGTTCTCTTCTTTAGAACTCAGTGTTCTTGAAAGGAATGTAATTGGTCTGCCGCCCTGTGAGAGCACAGCACCTAATGCATAATTTGATGCATCTGTGGTTAATTCGAAAGGTTCATTAAATCTGGGAAAATGTAAAACAACATCTTCAGAAATAAGGCAATTCTTAATTTGTTTAAAGGCTTCTGTCTGTTTTGCATCTAGGTTTATGAATGTTCGTTTTGAGACTGCTTTTGAGACTCTACCAGCTTCTCCTCTAAGAAGCGAAGTTAATGGCTTTGCTATTTCTGCATATCCTCTAATAAATCTACGGTAATATCCAGACATTCCCAAAAAGGAGCGAAGATCATGTATAGTTTTTGGCTTGGGGAAATTAACTATTGCATTTACTTTTTTTGGGCTAGTTTTTAATCCATCTTTACTAATAGTAAAACCTAAAAATTCTAAATTATCTTTCATAAATTCGCATTTATCCAATTGGACTTTAAGATTTGCATTTTCCAATGTCTCAAAAACCAATCGCAAGTTGCTGAAATGTTCTTCTTTTGTTTTTCCAAATATAACGATATCGTCTATGTAAACATAGCATCGTTTACCTATGTGATCCCTTAATATGTCGTCTAGCGTTCTCTGGAAAATTGCTGGGGCATTGCGTAGCCCGAATGGGAGTCTTAAAAACTCGAATTTTCCGTTATTTATTGAGAAGGCTGTCTTTTCAATATCAGAATCTTTTAGCGCTATTTGATGGAACCCGCTTTTTAAATCGATAGTTGTAAAGAACTTGTTCTCGCCAAGATTGGATAAGATAGTATTTATTTCTGGCATTGGGTATCTATCTGGGATTGTTAGTTCGTTCAACTTCCTATAGTCGATCAC